ACGGAACACTATGGCATGGCGACATGGCGTATAACGGAACACTATGGCATGGCGACATGGCGTATAACGGAACACTTTGGCATGGCGACATGGCGTATAACGGAACACTATGGCATGGCGACATGGCGTGTGCGTCATCACATACAGATGTAATCGCTATCGTCGACACACTATCCAACCCTATCAGATATCGAGCGCGTGGAGCGTATTGACTTTACACATCGCTACGCGCATCGTATGAATAACACAAACAAGCGAAAAAAAAGAAGCGCTGTCCGCGAGAAAGATACAAGAAAACAAAACGAGCGCCGCCGAGTTGCTTTCCTGCAGCCCGCAGATATTCGGTAGTTAGTTTTCTCTATGACACACGGGTGACGCTAATTGAACACTAAGCGCGCTATCGCCCAGAGCGCTCTCTGTAACAGGATCGCGGGTTACTGATTGTGTGAAATATGTTGCCGGCTGTGCGTCAGTCTGTTCGTAGCGCCACCACGCGCCACCTAAATAAAATGACCTATATTTTTAGGCACAAACCCAGCAGACGAGTCCCGGTGTGTTAGGCCCACGCGCGAAATAATGCCGAACGTTTTTGTCGTAAAGTATATTTAGCCGCTTGTCTTGCGTCGAGAGAAGCTGCTGCAGACGGAGCGGCAGACCGCCCGTCTGCACACATCGCGTGTTGTGTTGTTCGCAGCGGCCATGTTGTACGTACGGCCGAGCAAGGCCGGCCAGGTTCGTGGCCATGCAGCAGCAGCTGCGAGCACTCCTCGCTCGTTTGCTTAGATTCTCCCGCGAACGCAGCCACACAGCGGAGAGAGTGAGAAAGTTTAGAACTACGCGATGACTGTACGTACGGGGGGTGGGATAGGAACGGTGGCGGTACAGCGGGAGGTGGGGAGGGGGAATTTGCATTAAGGTTGCAATCTTAGCGAGAACGTATAGCCATCAGCACCAACGTAAAGCCGTTCAAACGAGCGTCCGTCGCTACGTAATGACGGAACGTCCGTTCATTACGCTCGCACGGATAGCCTGGTTTCTCTGATGATACGCGTTACAGCTAGGTATCGCATCACGATACAATCGGTAGAGCTGGAATCTCGGGGAGGAGGACATGTGTTGGTACGTAGCACATGCTCTTAGATTTACATGCGATTCACCTACTTGTTGTAAAGAACTAGATCCGGAACCCAAATAAGCTGCGACGGCACGTATAGCACATCGACGCCACCGTATTCGAGCGGGTTCCACGCCAGCTTGTAATCCACCCATTCCTGAAGAATAAGAACAACACACACGCACATACACATCACGCACATATGCCGCATATTTACATATCCGCATGCACCGTGCACCACCATGCTGCACAACCTGCAAAATTATGGCGTCGCAGTGACTGACTGCCCGTATTACGCTCTACCGCAGCCTGTCATCTTGTTGCATTAACCAAACGAATCGAATCATCCAAGGGAGGAGATACCATTATTTTGCTCAGCCGCCTACGCTACGGTACATAACAGCAAAAAATGCAATACAGTAACGTAGTGAGAAAAAAGGTACGTACTTGTCGAAGCCACACGTTAGTCTTCATGATTTGGTTTTTCTCGTCCTGTAACACAGACAGCATTTAATTAAATGTTGCGCACACACACCGTGATTTCATTAGCGGGAAGATATTAAAGAACATTTGCAGCGTAGCTGATTGCACACAAAGATTGCCTCACTGGCTTCATAATTTGTCGCTCTGGGATAGAGGGACGGCAGATGCGGGCTGGGGGAGAGTAAAAGGGGTGTGAGGGAGGGGGAAGAGAAGCAGAAGGAAAGAGCGGGCGCGTGAGAAGAGTACAATACGGAAGTAGAGAAACAGAAGTAAAGGAAAGGGGATGATGCTTGTGGAAGAGGAGTGGGGGTGTGGGTGAAGGGGAAGGACAGTGAAAGAGAGAGAGAGAGAGAGAGAGAGAGAGAGGGGGAGGGAGAGAAAAAGGGAGGAAGGAAGAGAGAGAGGAAGAAAAAAAAAGAGAGAGAAAAAAAACGAAAGCGGCTGCGTTGGGAGCCAGCAGAGGAGTGAGAGAATGCGGAATGGGGAAGCTGTCCCAAGAGTGGTGGTGAAGACAGGGGGATGAGAGACGAAAACAAGAAATTACCGAGGGCGAAAAATAGAGATGGGGCGATGCAGAGAATGTATACAAATTAGTGGCTGGAGCAGGATGGGGAAGACGCAGGGAGCAGCAGGAGGAATGACACAGAGGAGGGGATCGAAGGAGCAGTCGGCTTCATTTTAGTTACCGGCGCGTGTGTTAACCCGTATCGAGCATCAGCGGGTCGGCGCGATTCCCCAGCCTCACTTACCGCCACCCGCTATGATGGCAGCTGTACATTAGTGCTCGTTAGGGCATTTGTCCAGCACGGAATTCCACACGAGAGACCCGACCCTCTAGGCAAATATATCTCTCGTTATCTGAACGGGCGTGCGTGTGTGTGTGTATGCGCGCGTGTTAGTGTGCATCCGCGTGTATGTGTGTATGTGTGTGTGTGGTGCTGTGTGTGGTGTGTGTGTTGTGTGTGCCCGTGTGTGTGATGCAGAGCAGCTGTGTGTGTGTGTCAGAGAGAAGTGTATGTGTGTTGTGTGTGCTGCCATTGTGTGTGTGGTGTGTGTGTGTGTGTGTGTCAGAGAGGTGTGATGCTGTATGGGTGTGTGTGTGTGCTGTGTATGTGTGTGTGTTGTGGGTGTATGTGTGTGTGTGTGTGTGTGTGGTGTGTTGTGTGGCGTGTATGTGTGTGCGCTTGTGCGGCGCGCGCGTGTGTGTTCGCGTATGAGGGCGTTGTTCGTTTCCATCCCATCAAATAGCACACACACATGTGGCAGGTCAATAGTGAGCGGCTCATTGCTTCTGCACTCTTCCCATAGATAGCAAAACTAGTACGCACGTCAACGCAGCAACGAGGGCCGAAGTAATAAACGCAACCTCCGCCTCTCCTTTTTACATCGCTGATTGACGTCATATCAGGAGAAAACCGGGCGCGTAATGAGCGCAATCTTGCTGTAAGACTGCCCCGGATTGCCGCCACACGCGCACGCGCCCCGAGCATCGAGCCGCCGAGAGTGACGTCACCGCGCTCCCTCCTTGTCGCGCGTGCTAATCCCATGTCAACGTGCGGCCGTAGTGAACATCGTGCGCGACATGCGATGTCACCCAGCTCTCCCGGCAGGAGCAGCGCGTGCTCAGCGAGCGCAATCGATGCCCCGGCGGGCTAACCTCGCAGAGAATCTAGTCAGCCGAGGCGGGACTCGCTGCGAGGCACTTAATCATGCCTAGTTAGCATGCTAAAGAAGCCATCTGCATGCGCAGCGAGCAGCGAGCGACGGGACCGCCTGTGTCAAAAGTGTGGCCGCGGCGTGACGCTCCCGATCAATAGCCGAGCGGTGATTTGAATTTAAATTCAACATGCTCTGCGTTTTTATTTTTATTTCGCGCCGCCGCGGGATTATGAGTGACTCATGATCGCGATGCACGTACAGCCGTAGCAACACACACCGCACACGCCTTCCAGACACAAGTCAGTCCAGTTTGCGCCTTTGCGTATAAGCTCGCCTCACCGGATAGGCTGTGATGTATATTCAGACGTATGGAGATATTTCAGTCAAGTGGACTACAGACAGATTTGGTACACCGCATGCTTCCATGTAGAGCGAAATTATATCAAGGGTCCATAATAGAGACTTTCTATTCGTATGTAGGTAGACCTTCGTCTATATGCTAGACAAGTAGATATGAGCCAGCTTTACCAATTTTTGCTGCCAGGTAAACTTTTATGATGTCAGTACGGTATCTTCACATATTTTTCCCTTATAATTTTTGTGTGATCTCGCGCAGATAAAGATTAAAGATATCAAAGATACAGTAGGAAAAGCCTCACAACAAAAGCGCCCACGCGCCCCGAACGCTAACCCCATTACATTTAATAAACGAGATGTGTTTCAGAGCTTTCAGTGCAAGAAGCGCAGATTCTCCGCTACTTTTCAGGAGAGTGGTTAGCTGTTAAGTAAGTGGTTTAGCCTTGGAAATCGATAGCCTAGGAAATCTTAACAACTATCACGCTAGCGCTATCGTACTCGATATAACGCGTAAACGCTCTGCATCGTGTATTGAAGTTGCGGCGGAAGACTGCGATCACGAAGAAACAATTACCTGTATCGCACCAAATCTTGTCACGGTTTTGGCGGATACCGAGGAAAGATTGTCGTCAGAATTACGTAGAAGCGAAAAAAACAGCCACCGAGCCGACTACCGAGTAAAGACGGGATTTTCCGGCCAAATCAAAATCCTCTGCGCAGTCTATCGGTTCGAGTACCTTCGACTTTCCATGCGTTTCAAGTATCATTGACGTTTTGTTCGTTTCAAGTATTATTGACGTTTTGCGCGTTTCAAGTATCACAGACTTTACCTTAGTTTCGAGTATGAGATACTTAGTGAAAATCCGAAATCTCAAGTCCTATAAGAATTTACTGTATTGACGCGCACGCTTGTAAAATTTTGTAGGATGTAAGAGTACTCAGCGATATTGAGTGATTTGAAGAGATTTCATGGCGGCTAACAATAACGAAGTATTTTACAAAAGATTCTATGTGTGCCATATGTTCATACCACCGGCGAATAATAAAAAAGTTACATCCACATTTACGCAGTACCTGCTTCTATCTAGCTTGATTGCAGCATATATATTCATAGCATAGTTTGATAGCATCTACGGATATTGATAATAGGGAGTGGAGGGAATATAATATAATATAGATATTATCAAGAGCGTCTTAAGAAGGCCTCTTAATACGCTCTTGATATTATCAGAAGTAGATAATAGGAATCCCCTATAATTCCTATAGATAGATAGATAGATAGATAGATAGATAGATAGATAGATAGATAGATAGATTCCCTATTATCTACTTCTGATATTATCTACGCGGCTATATATCCTGCGTAAACTGTGACGCACATTGCATGGTAACGCGTCCTGGATTTTGATTGGTTGGGGGTGCCAGACGAGTGAACAAGGTTAAGACAGTCTAGTTCCGCACTTCAGTGCTGCTAACATTATTAACGTCGCGTCAGGACTGGGGCGACGACGGACTCGATCATTCGTTACCGTGTTATCTCAACATATCGGTCCGTCGCGTGAGCGTGTATCGAGTTAGCGTGCGGCGTTTCCATGGTAATATCGTCGTGCTCACGCTAGGGTGTTAGTGGCTGACGGCCGCATTAGCTTAGCGTCACCATGAGGTCAACACCTGACGCTTATTGGGAGATTGGCGTCATGCAGAGACGCACTACGCGATTGGCGTCACGTCATGCTCACTACAAGCTTAGCGTCACTACTACAATGTTAGCGTCACTAGCAGATTAACGTTAGTCACTCAGGGTTAACCTCACTACAGTGTTAGCGTCACTGTCAGATTAACGTTAGTCAC